TGCCGCCTCCAAAAAGTGCAGAAATGTTCTTTTCTCATTTTCTCCAAACGGTACTTAACCTCTTTTTTTTTGTGAGTAACTTGAAACTCAAAAGTCCTCTTTTCATCGACATCCCCTTGAGATTAAGTGCCTATTGCGAAATGGGAAGTAAGTGAATTGAAGTGGAGGAAACGTTACGATAGTTGGGAAATCATATTGTAAGGTAAAAACGACCCTTCACTTCATGGCCTACGCACGAACTTTCTATATCTTATCTGTATGAAGAAACTGTCCTCAAATACATTCCTAAACTATGCGACGGCTAGATCTGAAAAAAAGTAGAATTTCGCTCGCGAACTGATCAAATGGGTTCCTGGAATCTCCCTTTTGAAAGTATCATTCTATTTTTAACGCAGTTAACTCGAAAAAAATATTCTTATTTTCCGAAAATTCTCCCATGATTAACCCTGTTTTGCTTGAAGTCTACCTCAAGACGAAAACTAGTAGCAGCAGCCGATCGGTCGGGTCGTCGTTTTGTGCTGTCATTTGAAATCCGATACCGTAGAGTCGTCGTTTAGCAGCCGCATCCGCTGCCGTTTCTTCCTGTCTCTCCTCCTTTCGACCTTTTCTTCTTCATCAACCGCTATGTTATTACTTCAGGTCATTATCAAAAGCTTCTTTTTAATTTTCGAACAATTTCGCTTATTATCGCCGATTTCGTAACAATTTCTTCACCCTCGTTTTATTCTCTCCTAAGTCTATACCTTTTCAGAATCGTATTTAAGCAGCCGATAATGCTGCAGATTCTCCTACTTCTGCTTCTTGGCCCTCTGCCAGCTATTCTGGCCAAAGGATGCCAACCTATCACTATTCCATTATGTAAAGGTGTTGGATATAATATGACATCGTTTCCAAATAGTTATGGCCATGAAAAGCAGGAAGAAGCTGGCCTGGAAGTACATCAATTCTTCCCCTTGGTTGAGGTGAGTGGAGAAACTCCGCCCAAAATTTATTTAGACTAACCATCAAGTTCTATTTTAACTGAATTTTCCGTTTAAGTATGGCTGTTATGAGCACCTTCGCTTCTTCCTCTGCACTCTCTACACTCCTATATGTCAAGAGAATTATGACAGGCCTATTTTGCCTTGTATGGAGCTCTGCTTAGAAGCGAAGAAGCGATGCAGCCCGATTATGCAACAGTGAGTTGATAAGTTCATGTTAAAGAAGAACGAAAGGGAGCAAATATGAAATAAGCGGGGAAAAAAACGGGTAAGACGGCAAACATTTGGCGCTTCCGTGGACTGCAGCTGTCAATTTGTGAAAAAACACAAAAAATGTTTTGTAAATTGTGTGCGTTGAACTTCTGCATTGTTCTACCGTACTCTTAAGGTCAATATT